TTATAAAGTAAAATTTTAGTCCAACTTAAACCTCTCCACAGATTCATCTAATCAATAATAGAAACGTACCTGTTTCTTCACATATATGCTCTTATACACGTTCTTTATGTCTTTGTTGACTTCTGGACACACTTCATCGATTCTGGTGAGAACAGCCAGTTGGGGAATCCCTGCCAGTTCAGAGCATATCAGAATCAATCAAGATAATATCTGCCAGATCACTTAACTGAATTCAGTCTAAGAACTGCCTCTAACTCTTACGTAGAGCACGAGCTGCAAGTTGGACTTCCCTCATCTTTGTCATGGTTTCAGGAGGAATCAAATTTAATGCATAGGCAGAAACCACACAAACCAGAACATGGACTTTGTCATTTGGGCTGGGGTTGTTGTTGTAGCCATTGTCTTGATCGGATAGTGCTGCATTAGGATTGAACTGTAAAAGAATACAACATTAAATGATATAATATCTTTTGCATGTAAATGTGTCTGATTTCTGTGTTTATGTGAATATAACAATGTAGTTTGTCTACACCAGTATAATTGTGTATAATTCAACAATCATACCTTGTATCCATCTCTCACGTGTCCCTTCATGGCCAGTTTGATGTCTTCCACACGAACTCCTCTGCCTGTATCTCTCTCAAGGCCCATGATGTCAGAAAGGGCAAAAGGATAAAAAGTCCCTCTTGCCTCTTTTTGGATTTTGAAAGTTCTGTACTGTAAAACAGTAAGATGTGAAAATAGTACTAGTTATACTCATGATCTAGTAAACAGCAGCATGTGTCTGATACATGAACAAAACCACCAATTAAACCACTCTCAAAATGGACTCATACGTCTGTGGTGAAACTGTCCTGGAACAGTGCATATCCCGTAGCTCGACCAGTCATTCTGCCTTGTAAAGCTGAGTCCACAGAGTTGATGAAGCTGGACTTCCCAGCACCACATGGTCCACAAAGAAGAATTCTGAGCTGTTGGATGCCATCGTGGTGAAGCTGATAGTTCCTTACATAGTCCAGATACTCGCGTTTGCTGCATTAAAAATAAAAAATATAAAAATCTTAGCTGTTGAAGCCACATGTGTTGTTACAGGCAGTGAAGGAGATGTTCAGTGGTTACAGGCAGCAGTCAGCATAGCCAGGATGTCTCTGACACAAACAACTGAACATGAAGCCAACAGCTGTTGCACTTTACACGTTTTCAACAACACACACATAACTTACACTGAGCTCACATGAGGCAGTTCAGAAAGAAAACCTCTGTTTCAGAAACAT